GATCCACAGTATATAAGCCTTCAGAACCTTTTCACAACCATTATTTCACTTGTGACCAAGTTCTAAATGAGGTATTACTAACCCATTTTGTTAAAGTGTCAAAACATTAGGAGATTTCCACAAAGTTCTGCAGAATTTGAACTAGGATTCAGCCTCCAACAATTTAATCCTCTTTTCCCAATCAAGATGTCTTGCTGGGGCTGGGATTGTGGCTCAGCGTAGAGCGCTCCGCCTAGCACGGGTACAACCTGGTTTGATTCTCAGCATCACATAAAAATAAAAGCATTGTGTTGTGTCCATCTACAAAAAAGATATTCTCTCTCTTTCTCTCCCTCTCAAAAAAAAAGATGTCTTGCAATAAAAAATAAAATAAAATAAAAATCTCCAATTATTAGACATCCTGAAGGCCTACGTTTTAAAAGATCTATAAACAATTCTAATATATAGTGTTATAAATGAGAAATGTACCTTAGGATAATATCCAAGGCTATGCTATAAAAATTCAAGATCACCTAAGTCCATCCACATATTCCTAAACAACACAGGAACCCCAAAGCTGTTCCATGTCTGACCACACACGAGTGGACCATGCTTCCAGGGTGACAGAAATAGTTTAACATTGAAAATAACACTCTGACAACATGGAATGATGTTGAGAATGAGGTCAAGAGTGACAGGAATGGGCTGGGGCGATAGCTCAGTGGTAGAGCGCTCGCCTCACATGTGGAAGGCACTGGGTTCGATCCTCAGCACCACATAAAAATAAGATAAAGGTATTGTGTCCGTCTACAACTAAAAAAAAATTTTAAAAATTTAAAAAAAAGAGTGACAGGAGTGCTTTTTTCTCACATGCAGTGACATGAACACTCTCTTCCTTAATTCTCACATAGTAAGTAAACACGTGGCCTCTGAAGCCAGAGAGCCTGTACTCATCTCTCAGCACTGCGTGATGCTTTGATTCTTTCCTCTTCTGCAAAATGGGATGATCACTTAACAAATCTTCAAGGTAGAGCACATAAAAATACATGGAGATCAACAAGGAAATGGAAGACTTGAACAGGCTATAAACCAACCTGACCTAACAGCACATCCATACACTCCACCCAACAGCAACAGAACACACATCATTCTCAAACAGACGTGGAACATTCCTGAGGAGAGACCATATGCTATGTAATAAAACAAGCTCCAATAAACTTACAAGGATTGAATTTATGCAAAAATATGTTCCTCAAGTATAAAGGAATGAAATTAGAGATCAATAACAGGAAGAAATCTGGGAAGTCACAAATCTGTAGAAGCCGAACACGCCTGAATAACCAATGTGTCAAAGAAGAAATCACAAGGGAAACTACAAAATACRTTGAGCTGAATGAAAAACACAACCTACAAAAACTTATGGGATGTAAGGAAAGCCAAGGTTATAGGGTAATACACAGCTGTAAATGCCTGTATTAAAAACAAAGTTCTCAGAGCAGTGGCACACACCTGTAATCCCAGCAGCTTGGGAGGCTGAGGCATGAGGATTGCAAGTTCAAAGCCAGACTCAGCAAAAAGCAAGGTGCTAAGCAACTCAGTGAGACCCTGTCTGTAAATAAAATACAAAATAGGGCTGGGGATGTGGCTCAGTATTTGAGTGCCCCTGAGTTCGATTCCTGGTACCCCCTCCAAAAAAATAAAAACAAACATCATCATCAACAACAACAACAACAGAAACCCCACAAAGTTCTTAGTTCCTCTCTTCTCTGAGAGGAATCACATCTCTTCCTCCTTTCCCCTTTCCTATCTCTTCTAATAAATTCACACCTATTACTTTGAGTGACATGCCTAGAAAAAAGAAAAGTTCTCAAACCAACAATCTAATCTTATTCTTTATAATACTGGAAAAAGAAGAGCCAACAAAATCTAAAGCAAGAAGAAGGGGGAAATAATAATGTTTAAGGCAGAAAATAATGAAATGGAGAACAAAAAAACAACAGTAGAAAATCAATGAAAGCAAACACTGGTTCTTTGAAAAGATCAATGAAACTGACAAATGTTTAGCTAGAATGACTAAAGGAAAAAAAGAATCAAATCACTGAAATCACGAAGAGGACAATACCACTGACTTTCCAGAACAGAAGGATACCTGGCTGCTAGATCAGTGATTGTTTTCAATGAAATGGCCAAATTTTCTAGAAAAAAACAAATGAATCAAGGAAAAAAAGAAAAAGAAAAACTGAACAGATCTATAATAAGCAAAGAGATTATATTAAGAAAAGCCCAGGTGGCTTCACTGGTGAACTCTACCAAACATTTAAGAATTAATGCCAGCTTATCACAAACTTTTCCAAAAAACATTGGAGGAGGGAATACATCTTACTTAGCTCGATGTACGAGGCCAGTATTATCCTGGTACCAAAACCAGATAACGACAGCACAAAAGGGCTACGCTGCCATGAATACAAACACTAAATGCTAGCAAACCCAATTCATCAACACTTGAAAATTTGTACACTATGACCCTGATAGGACTTATCCTAGGAAAAATTAGTTTAACCTATAGAATAGAATAGAACAAAACAGAAAGCAAAAATGGCTGGGCACAATGATGCATTCAGTGTCTGCAAGCTCAGTGTCTCAGGAGGCTGAGGCAGGAAGATGTCAAGTTTGAGGTCAACTGAGCCACTTAGCAAGACCCTGAGCAAGTTAGTGAGACTCTGTCTCAAAACATAAAAGGGCTGGGGATGCAGCTCAGTGGTAAAACACCCTGGAGTTGGAAGGAAGGAAGGAAGGAAGGAAGGAAGGGATGAAAAGGGAAGAGGAGGGAAGAAAAGGGGAGGGAGAGGAGGGAAGGGGATGCAAAAAAAATCATTTGACAGAATCCAATACCCTTTCATCATAAATATACTTAACAACCTAGGAATAGAAAGGAACTTCCTCCAACTTTAAAGGCATTCATGAAAACCCCACAACTAACACACATTTAGTAGGAGAAGACTAAATGCTTTCTTTATCCTAAGATTAAAACTGTGATAAAACCACCCACACTYTTCACTTTACTTAACATTATACTGAAGGTCCAGTCAGGTCAAATAGGCACAAAAAAGAAATAAATATATCCAGATAGGAAAGGAAGAAGTAATTTTGCAAGTGTCATAATCTTATATATATAAAATCCTAAGTAATCCACTAAAAAACCATAAGAATGAATAAATGAGGTTAGTGAGGTTGCAGGAAACAAGGTCAATATATAAATTTGAACTGTATACCTACACACTAGCAATGAACATTTGAGAAATTAAATTAGAAAACAATTCCACTTATGATAAYCCCATAAAATAAAATAGAAGTAACAAAATAAATATAAAACTCATACTCTAAAAACCAGAAGATATTATTGAAAAAAAACAAAACAGGAAGATCTAAATAAATGGAAAAACATCCCATGTAATTGTACCAAAAGACATAATATGGTTCAAAGGGCAAAGAGAATGACCCTTCAGGAATGATATTTACATGGGAAATAAAAGCAAAACACTTTGTAAAAGTTTCTTTAAAATATTCATACTTTTCTTGAAGTCATACTATACCTCACTTCTAGCTTAGACTGAGAAATCCATAGGCTTTAAATTATTATAGCATTACTCAGAAATGTAAATAATATTTATCAATTGCTTACCAAGGGCTAAGAATTATGCACTAAATTCATTATCTCCTAATCCCCATCCTAACTGTAGTAAGCAGACACTACGAAAAATCTCATTTTGGGGTGGGAGGTACTGCTCAAGGGTAGAGTTCTTGCTTAGCATTGTGTGAGGCCCTGGGTAAATGAGGAGACTGAGGTACCAAGAAATTCAGTAACTTGCACAAGGACAGAAAGTTTACAAGTGACAGTGGAGACCTGAATTCATGTATGCAATATTTAAAATCAGGAAACTTAGTGACATACAAATACATCCCCCCAAGTGTATCATCAGTGGCTTATAAAATGAGTCTAGATAGAATAAACTGGACCATTCATCTTAGTAATTATATACAATCAAATATAACTAGTGTATCAATTATATTATGGTAATGTAAGGTTTTCTTTTGAAATAAGTATATTAAAATGTAACTTTTTTTTGAAAAAGAAGGATATTGATTAGAAAGGAATATAGAAAAAAAGTTTTATTTTCTAAGAAAGTGAAATTTCTGAGTCTCCTTTCTCCCCTTTTTTAGTTTCAATGTTCCTACAATGTCTGTATAAAAATGGTAAGCCTTTAAAAATTCTTTGTCTAAATTACTCAAAACAATGCAATCACTCTAAGAAGAGTAAGCCAGTCTCCCACTGGCTGAATATTTTAATATGCCCACACCTGAATAAGCATGCTTCTCACTCAGGAAGTAATTTCCTGACATTTATCACATTTTCTTTATCTCCATTTTATCCTATCTTTCYTGAAACTCCAGGATCAGGTCACCTATTTAAATACGGTAGGCACGTGCAAATATTTTTCAAAGGGCAGGGTTATGTGAATGTGTCTCCCTGGGGGTCCTGCTATATATATGTACACTGCCCACCTGGGGCACTGAAACAAACTCCAATTGGCAGCAGGGTGTGGTGGCACATGTCTGTAATCCCAGCTGCTTGGGAGACCAAGGCAGGAGGATTGCAAGTTTGAGGCCAGTTTGGGTAATTTAGTAAAATCCTGTCTCAAAATAAAATAAGGGTTGGGGATATAGCTTAGTAGTAGAGTGCTTGCCTAGCATGAGGCCTTGGTCAATCCCTAGTACAAGAGGAAGAGAAAAAAGAAAGGAAGAAATAAAACAAACTTCAACTGGCCCAGGGGAATGAACCTTGAATAGCTATGGTTGCGTGTTGTTTCTCATAGCCAGACATGCCTGACACCCCAAGAAGGTAAAGAAAACCATTTCTAGCTTTTCTCTTGGGCAACCTAACTTTAGAACTTTCTCGGCCCGCAGGTAAGTCCTCCATGGCTCAGAGGCAACATCTCTGAGGCAAAAGGTGTCTCACCCACCTGTGCATGTTCCCRTTGGTGGTGAAAGACTGGCCACACACAGTACATTTGTAAGGCCTTTCGCCCGAGTGCACCAGCATGTGGCGATCCAGGGAGCTGGCCGAACTCAGGGACTTCCCGCAGATGCTGCATGAGTGGTCAGCTCCTCCAGTGTCTGTGTTGTGCTGCAGAAAATAATCACCACAGTAGTCACTTGACAAGATGGGCAAAACCTCAGACATCTAGAGCTTTATAAAAACCGATGAAGCTTCTTGGCCATTTCTTTTTGTTTTAACTATCTTTCTAAAGGGTCCAAATGTACCATCAGAAACATGGACAAATAATATTTTGTTGGAACTTCTTGTGTTCCTGTTTTGAAAAGCAGTTTTGCAAGGCTCAGAGAAAGATGAAGTCTTTGCAGGCTTTCTTTGAAACATATAGATTAACTGACCACATATATTAACTTTATGGGCAGAAGGACTCAGCTACACAGTAAATGAGTGAAATAGGGTTGTCTCAGAGAGTCAATATCCCTTCAAGTTTGATATTGCGATATTGCAGGCCTGCTGTCAGAGAAAGAAAAATGAGCCCTACAGAGTAGAGTTTTGGCCTCTCAAATATGGCAAAGAGGATTTCTATACAAACCCAAGTAACTCTAGTAACTTGTTATTCAGCAGCATGTTTATGACTTTAACTGATTATCATTCCCATCAATCCAATACCCATCAAGAGTCTTGTTTCTTTTATCCTTTTCCCTTATCAGCCATGGCAAATGAGGGAAAGGATAAAAGAAAAAGATCCCAAACTAAGCAAATTCACAACTGAATGAGATAAACTYAGAGCAATAAAGAAAAGGAAAGACATCTACGACCTCAATGTATCACAAGGAACTCAAATCATATTGACAAGTCACATACGATGAAAAGTCTTCTGTTAATATAAGTGGGCAGTTAGCTAAATTTTATTAAATTCTGAAGTTATTCTGTGTTGATCTGGGCTCTGCCAAAGTAACATGAACACAMAAAAATTACTTCATAATTGCCCCAAAGATTGTAAAATATTAAATCAAAATTAGGCACTGTTCACATTTCACCCATTAGAATCAAATCATCTCATCACCTTGTTAATGAAGAATAATTTAGAACAAAAATACAAAAGTAGCAGCTAACCTGACGAATGTGCATAGTCAACTGGTGCTGGGTAGTGCAAATCTTTTCACACAGGGGGCAGTTGTAGGAAGACTTCTCCTCTTTCATTTCCTAAAAGAGATTAAAACAAAGTATGAATTTCAAATCATAGTAAACCAGTGCCTTCTATTTCTGTCATAAGCCCCTGTGTCTTTAGAGCTGGCTGTAAGTAGCCGAGAGCAGCGGACCAGAGCCTGTCTAGGTGTCAGCGTGAGCAGGTCACCCCCCTGTCTGCCCTCAGTTTCCCTGTTTGTAATTGGGAAAAATAAGAGTATCAATCACATCATGTTGTGGTGTGKATTAAATTCATAAACTTAAAATAAAATTAAAGCACTGAAATAGTGCTTGGTACAGAGTAAGTGCTTATTAAACAGCAGTGTTTTGTTACATGGATACTATTTCACTGTCAGTGATGGTGAAATAATAAAAACCCACCCTAACACAGGCAGGAGCCCTTAGTGCCTGGCTATGTACCCTACAGGCATTAACACAACTCCTCTGACCCATGCTAGCATCTGCATGACACTGTTTGTAAATAAGAAATAGGAAAAAAAATGCTSTCCATGTTAGAACTTTGATAGGAATGACAGTGTAAACTGGAGACTTCCACAGAGACGACACGGAGCAGCTTACTACTTGGTGAAGTCTTGTCTTATGTTCCTCAAAACATATATGACAAGCTTCCTTTGAGGAAATCATTTTACTTTATTAAGGAAATTTAAATTTGCTAACCCTTTTTATAGCTCCTCTTTCCAAGTAATCCAAGGAAAGCTATTAGGAGTGCCTACCTATCATGGTCTCCTTACTCACACAGTCCCTAGGCACCACGGGTCTCTGTCTCACAAGTAAGTGGATCCAGACTTGGACACCTCTCCAGGGAATCGGAAATTGGAATGCTCAGGGAAGGTCATCAGTGGGACCTGGGGAGCTTTGTAAAATAACACATTTCTAGAGCAGACTCTCAACATGCTAGATCAGAATCATTGTGAGGGAGGGAGGGAGGAAGGGAGGTGAAACCTAGGAATCTGTTGGTTTTATAAGCTTCTCTGAAGATACTGACATGTACCTGGGTGTTGCCAAGTTAGGTGATCAGGAGCACTTTGAGAATTCATGTAGAGCTGGGACCACACCTAACACTGTGGCATGTTCAAGCCACGAGAAATCAATTAAGAAGTCAGTGCTAACTGGAGAGGGAGGTCAGGCAGCCTCTGAGATAAAGGTATGGGGTGGGGAGGGGGAAGAAAGAGAGAGAACATGAACACACATGCGCAAGTGCTCTAGAGAGGCCAGACACTCTGGCCAGGCTGTGYGTCATTTCCTGTCCTTGAGCATCTTTCAATAGACCTCTTTTACTTGAAGTGAGATTCAGCTGAGTTTCTGCAAATACCAATTATTGAACACTTACTATGTGGAAACTCTGAATATACAGAAACATAAAGTTTCTTTTTTTGCCCCCTATAGCTGCTAAGAGACACTATTAYGGACCCCATTTTCTAGATGAGGAAACTAGAGTACAGAGGGGCAAGTAACCTGCCCTAAACTGGAGGACAATTAAGAAGTAGACAAGGATTAAAACTCAGGTCAGCTGCTCTACAGCCCATGCCCTAAACCACAATGCTATATAAAGTTTGACCAAAAAAAAAAAAGAACCCCAAGGCACAGAAAGGAAACACCCTGTGGTTGCTCATGAGAGATGGTGAAAATAAAAGTTACCCTGTGCACTATAAAAACAAATGGCACCATAAACCAGATGGGTGGAGTGAATGAATGAATGCATGATGATGTCTAGTCTGTAGTTGCCTTTTCTCTCACTTCTTTTCAGAAACTAGAAAGTCTCATTCTAAGCAAGATGACCCTTCTTCAATCTGTGGAAGTGGGTCTGAGAACTATGTAAGTCRGCCACATATTTCTCACACTCACATTTAAAAAGATTAAGGATGTGAATTCTATAAGGAAGTCGAATACCCCAGAAACCAAACAAGTCCTGGTCTCACCAAGTTACTCAGGTACTTCTAAGTCCTCTCAAAGGCATAATTGGGGATGGGGGTCATGTCTTCTCAGCCAGTTCTACAATCATTCAGACTTGAGCTGGCCAAGGACCTCCATAAAAACAAAAAACCCCAAAAGCAGCAAAAGAAGAGCACTTTCTATAATGATGAGGGATGCCTCACATCCAGGCCAAAATTAGGATCAAGTAAAACCTCTGGAGCAGTTCTGTTAAATTATTAGATAAGCCAAGCTGCAGCCAGRCTCAGTGTCACATGATACAGTCCCAGCGACTGGGTAGGCTGAGGCAAGAGGAGTTTGGGACCATCTTGGATAACAGTAAGAGCCCAGCTCATCATCAACACTACCACTAACTACCACCACTACCACCACCACCACCACCACCAACAACAACAACAACAATTACAAAAAAAGAGCAGGAGGAAGAAAAAACAAACTAACCAGACTCATGAGGAGACAGTTTCTTTTTTTATTTTTTTTTTAATTTTTTCTTGCATCTGGCTTGAAATAGATACCAGATACACTGTGTGCAGCTTGTGCAGCTGACTGATAATGACTCTAAGGTTGATCATTAACTGCTGCCAAACCTGAGGCTGGCAATGCTGCCATGTAGACCATAATACAAGTTCATGAAATCTCAGGTGGGCTGTGGGCTCAGATTTAACCTTCAAAACTAAACTAAACAGAAAAGAGATCACTGTGATGCTGGAAACAGCCTGTTGGAGGATTTTGAATCCAATTATTATGACTGTGCTGGTGGAAGAAGCACACTTCCTGAGCTGAAAGATAAAATTAGCAGCTAATGTGATAACTAACCATTCCATAATGAAACAATCTGGCACCCTTGTCAGCATCCGGCTGTGCCTAATCTGTCCTGGAACTCTGCTCACGAGGATGGGACTTTTCCTGGCTCCCTCTCTCCGGCCTCTCTATCCAGTTCACAGGTAAGGAGGCTGCTTCCTTCTTCCCTATACTCTCTTCCCATTGCATTTTGTTCCCTTAATTAGGCACTGTATTTAGCAGGCTACCTCTGGCCCGGAACTCTCTTGGAAAAATAAAGTCAGTGCACCGGATTCCTAGAGGAGAAAGGAAGCGAAGACAAGTGGCCCAGTTACACCTGCACTTTCACCTCCTCCGAACAACAAGCGCCACTCAGCATGCAGGAATGGGAGGAGTCGTGGGTATCTTCCATGGCTCTAACAGCTATTTCTGAACAACTGGGAAGAAACTGGAGCCTGGCCCTGGACCAGCTCTGCCTGGCCCTGGGGGTGGGGGTGTTGCTGTGCTACTTGAGGAAAAGCTCCGGCCTATACTTGACTCATTCCTGAGCAGAGAAGGATGAAGACAATGACCTTATCTGTCTTATTCATCCCAAAATGCCTGGTACCAGGCACAGCAGCTAGCTAGAAGTAGAAGCTGGTAAACACTGTTACATGAGTTGATGAATGGAGAGACGGACAGATAGATGAAGAGATGGACAGGCACATGAAAATGGAAGTAAACCTTTTCTTCCCAGAGCTAGCGCTCCTTCTTGACTCAGGCCACAGTCATACAGGCTGAGTATTTTCTCAGGTACCCATAGAAGAGAGGCACACGAAGGCAAGGGAGAAAAAGAGAAAGAAAGGTGTCAGTGCTCCGACCCTCAAACACCACTGAGCGATGCCGACCAGGCTTCAGCCCTGAGCCAGCTGTGAAGAAGTGYGTTCCCACACACCTGGAGGGAGCTGGGGCTGGCATCACATTTCCTGGAGGGTAAGTTGCATTAAAATCTTAATTAAGGTTCTACTACTGAGAAGTTATAGAAAACCAGATAGATGTGATCAGAGAATTCTGTGTAGGAACAGCTGTCGTAAGATTACTAATTAAAAAAGAAAATTTTAAAAAAGCCCAGTGGGCTTGCTCTCTTGTCCATCCCTGGGCTCCTAGATAAACTCAGAAGAAGACAGCCTTCTTTCTGAAGGTTTAGTATAAACCCATAAAACCAAAAATTCACACCATATGGATCCAGAGGAGAACAGAGACTCATTCGTCCTCTGCCTCCCTCCTTTGTATACCTACACCATGTTTCTACTGTGGCAGCACAACTTTTCAAAAGTGTCCCATTTGTCCATAAATTAAAAGATTCATCTTATTTCCCAATGGAGGAGATTAGGACTTTTATAACAGCAATCATACCTCCCAATCTTTGTCTACCCATTTACTTTTTCCCACTTCTCCTGATCCTTTGTCAAGAGGACTAAACAGAATCTTAAGTGGAATTCTCTGGAGTCAAATTCTGTGCATTTTGAAAACTGGAAAGTTGAACAGCAGCCCCTATACAAACAGGACTTATYTGCCACCTAATCTGAAGATGTTTAAAAAAAAAAAAAATCAAGGAGTTGGCTTTGAAAGTTCAATTAACCAACCGTGCGAATAAGGAAAGAAACCACATCACAGCCGAGAAATCAGTCAAGTTCACTGCCTTGATCATGTGAAGAAAGACTGAGTTTAAATCAAATCATGGGGCAAAGAATAAGGGTGCTTTCACAACACTGACACCAAAGCAAAGAAAATTTCTTCTATGAAAGGAAACTGACATAAGCTATGAAAAATTTGCTCCTGAAAAATGATTAGGCCTCTGGGTGTATCTGTTGAATTCAGAACACATTCAAGGTTTTGTCTTAGGGAGCTGGGAAACTTCCTCCAACATTCTCAGACGGAACCCATCCAGATGCTACCACCCAATGTACTTGAAGCCTACCTGGTTCCTTCTGCCAATCCTATTTGGTCCTGGAGGCTTCACCGGGGACTTGATGCCCTGGGGGCTCCCTCCATTCTCTGTGACGTTCCCTACACTCATTACTGCTGACATCATGGTGTTGATGGAAGACAGGTCCGGGCCTTCCAAGCCAACAGGCGAACTTGACGTCATTGGGACAGGAGTTTATGCTTCTAAGAAGCCTCTGTCATAGAACTGAAAACCAGAAATTGCTGATATTATCAAGGGAAGTTGAGACTTTCCTCATAGCCAAGTGTAACTGGCCATGGTTACATGAACTACAAGCTGGGTCAAACACAAACACCCTCCTTCTAGTTCAAGCCCATACTCATGTGGTGCCAATGATGATTTAAGCTTTCATCTAATGACACTTTGGCTTTCTGAAGATTCACCACTGATCTTGCTTCCTTTCTGAGAGCATGTCACAGACAGGACTCCAAGTGACCTGAGGAAGGTTTCTTTGCCTTTCCTAATCTTTGTAAGCAGAGGTGGGAAAGGCTAAGCCAACAACAAGAAACCCCAGAAGCTGCCATTTGGCTGGCTGTCATCCTCCACAGAACCATATATTTGTTTTCTGTGACATAAAGGCTCTAGACCGAAATATACGGGATGAGAAACTTCAGGTTTCATTTAATTCCATTGCTGCAATAAAGTAAGTTTAATGGGCAACCCAAATTCTGTGAGAGATTAGAGAAACTAACCCTGTCAGGATTATGACCAAATTTCAAATCAACATAAAATAGCCTGTTTCTTCAAGTACTACACCTATACCCCAGATAACAGAAAGAATAAAACCCCACCCCTGTGGCTAATTACCTCCATTTTTTTGCCAACTGATAAACCGTGAAATTTCCCCCTGCGAGAACTACCATCCACACGCAGGAAGAAATGGCTCCGTGTTTACTTCTTTTTTCCTCTACGGGCTATCACTGGTTGACACTGGAGGGAAACAGAGGTAGAAAGATTCAGGGAATATCTATTTGCTTTCTGAAGCTCATATTTATACACCAAATTTTCTTTCAAACTGCGCCCCAGTTCCTTACAAGGAGCTTCAGACCCCAACTTGACCCACCTTGTGTCTCAACCTGAAATTGACCAAAGACAAAACAATTAAGGAATTCACTAAAAGGTCGGAGTCAAGACGGTACTAGGCCAGACCTAAACAAAGCTTGGTAACCTGAAAAGAATGACCAAAGGGAAAGTAATGCCCCTTTTATACCAGGATTTACTTCTTCAGGATGGATGTATTCTTTGCCACTAGAAGGCCCATGGCGATAGGTGTAGTCAGTAATGAGTCCATACATAAAATGTAGTCCTCATTTTATCTGGGAAGAATATTTTATACTCTATAGCTGAATCCCTACTGGTAATATTATCTTAGTACCTTCTTATTCTATGGTTAAAATTAATACATTTCAGAGGGTCATAGCAGCAGCCTAAGATCAAGCTCATAATCTTAGCTGAAGAGGCTGCTTAAAAACAACATAAGAAAGAACATGATTTCATGTGGTTTTCTCCACCAATTTTAGGGGCTCTGACAGGTGGTCGAGTGGTCTACCCGGAGCAGCTCCAGATAAGCAGCCTTCCAGCAACAAAGCAGGAAAGGGGATAGAACTTTATTAAGTGGCTTCTATCTGCTAAATCTCTAACTGAAATCCTACCAAAAGGGCCAATGACAATCTTAGAAATTTCCTTGTCAAGAGATAAAACGTGCTTTAGTTGCTTTTGTTTTAATATGTTCTCTAAAAGATCAAGTATTGAAAATTAACCTTGAAATTCATACATTATTAATAGTATTTGCAGTGTGACCTTTGGGAGGTAATTAGCCAAGGTCATGAGGGTGGAACACCCACAATTACATTAGTGGCTTTACAAGAAGAGGAAGAGAGAACTGAGCATGCACACTTGCTCCGTCTGGCCATGTGATATTCTCTGTGGTGTTATGATGCAGCACGAAGGCCAAGAAAGTGCCACGCCCTTGGAACTTCCCAGCCTTCAGAATTCTGAGCCAAATAAACTTTTATTCTTTATAAATTACCTGGTCTCGGGGATTCTGTTATAACAACAGAAAACAACCTAAGACAACTGTTAGTAGATATTCTAAATATAACCAAATAGTAGGAAAAAGGAGTAAATGCAAAAGCATACAATTTAAGACTCCTGATCCAGTCTCACCTCCCACATCTTTTCCAAAAAAGAGAGGAAAAACCAAACTGTTTCCCCATGCCAATATCCATTTAAATCTATTAAAAATTATGCTTCTTACTTCCTGTTTTTGTCTTTAATGGGGTAATTTCTCCTTAGGGGAAAAAATATGCAAACACAGTATGTATATACAAGTGTATACACACATACCACTCTTCTTTCTTTTTTTCATACTGGGGGTTGAACTCAAGGGCAGTTTACCACTGAGTCATACCCTTAATCTTTTTTTTTTTTAATTTTTTTTAGTTGTTGGTGGACACAATACCTTTATTTGTTAATTTTTATGTGAGGCTGAGAATCAAACCCAGTGCCTCACATATGCTAGGCAAGCACTCTACCACTGAACCACATCCCCAGTCCCATCCTTTCTTTTTTTTTATTTTGAGATAGGATCTTGTTAAATTGCTGAGGCTGGCCTTGAATTAGCAATCTTCCACCCTCAGTCTCCCAGATTGATGGGATCACAGGCGTGTGCCTCCACACCTGATACATTTTTCTTAATCGTTAACAAAAGTATCATCATTTCCCTAGAATTTTTGTAATTAATCAGTATGTAATATGTATTGGGTTCAGAAATAGATGCTTCCAGTACTGAATTCACCACATTGTGTAAAATAACTGCTAGAAATCTATCTTTATAGTAATTATGTTGTATCAATAAAAAGAATATGAACCTTCCTACCAATTTATATGAAGAGTATGGAAGATAATCTCACTTTTGTCCTATCAGTAAATTTAGAAAAGAAAACTGGTAGAGCTGACTCAAATCTGTGAAGTTCGAGTAAACATCTTTGTGACTAAATGACCAACAAGCAAAATGACAAAAATGTGTTCTCTAAACAGATCCAAACTGCTAGTAAGAATTTTTTCAGTCATTATGATATCAAAGATACATTCTTGCAAACTAGGTCTGAAATAGAAAATGCCTAGCAAGAGTCATTACAGTTAATTAGCACAAGAGCTGAACGCTGCAAGGACTTAGCCACTGGAAAAGGAGAAAAGCCATGYTTTCAGATTAACTATAAACTTGCTTCTCCTTCTTCTGGACAGGAAGACTTTGGCCAATTCCCTCCCTTCCTGAGCCACTGAGCTCCATCTCCAGCCTTTCTTATTTTTTAAAATTTTGAGACATGGYCTCACTAAGTTGCTGAGGCTGCCCTTGAACTTGCAATCCTCCTGCTTCAGCCTTCTGAGTGGCTGAGATTACAGGTGTACACCACCACTCCTGGCTTGGCCAAATTTATTTCCTTCTTGAAGATAAAATATAAGTGTTAATGCTGCATGTGAATAACACCAAGATCCCCTCCATTTACTTCTTTTTCCTAATTTTGATAATTAATTGATTTTGCTGTGCTAAGAYTGAACCCAGGGCCTCAAGTATATGATAAAGCAAGCACCTGACTATTGAATTACACCCCCAGCCCCCTTTTCCTATTTTAATGTAAGTAAACAGCAATACAATTAATAGAATGGAATACTTGGCTATGCTGGTTGAAAGGAAAAAAAGGATCATTGGATCCACCCTGGGAAGATGTTTCAAAAGCAAATAACAACCTGTCCCTTGGATTTTACAAGCTAGATCTTACTCTAGTTTATTCTTGAGTCTTAGACTTGAGTTCTCCTTTGAGAGTATGGAATGAGGCACAGGAAAGATGCTGGTGCTAAACACAATGTAGTTCACTGTTCCATATTAGAAAAAAATCCCCAAGGCTGGGGTTGTGGCTTAGCTGTAGAGCCCTCACCTAGCACATCTCTGGGTTTGATCCTCAACACTACGTAAAAATAAATAAATACAATAAAGGTATTGTGTCCTATATTTTATTTACAACTAAAAAATAAATATTAAAAAAAAAGAAAAAAATCCTCCTTAACATTAAGGCTCGTTATGATACCTTTTTTTTTTTTCTTCAAATAAAACAGTTTATTAAAGACAATGTTCAGCTGGGTTGTAGCTCCTGCCTGCAATGCCAAGTACCTGGCCCAGGTCCAATGCAGGGAGCCACCTTCCCAAGCAGGTCTCAGCAATGGCTAAGCCTCTGGCAGCTCCCCACACTCCCAGTCTCCCTTGGGGGCCCTTTGGAAAGGGGGAATCAAGGCACAGGGAACCCAGGAAACACTGAAAAGTCTGTAAATCTCTGAATTCCCTCTGTAGCTGAGGGTTAGGATTGGACATTTCCCCAATTGGAACAGGAAACTCAAACCTACTGGCCACTAGAAATTAGGCATATTAGGGGGGAGTCTTAGTAGGGTCCATGAGACCAGGATTCTCAACCCCTGGCCTTCTCACTCAATATGCTGGTCTTCATGTGAACAATTAGCTGAGGCCAGGGTGGGCATGCTCTAGGCTGTAATCCCCAGAGGACTGCAGCAATAGTAGGCGAGCCTGGACAATTTAACCAGACTSTCTCCAAGGGCTGGGATGTGGCTACACGATTAGCACCACTGGGTTCAATTGCAGGAACCAAAGGAGGAAGAATTAGCTTACTCTGGGGGCATGAAGCCTTATTGAGGGCTGGACATTGGTGCAGAAGTCACAGGTTCCCAGAGGCCGCCTCAGACAGCATCTTTACGGTACTTTAACTAGATGCAAGGTAGCCAGTTCATTCTACCTACCCCTACCCAATGCCCCACAGTACAATGGAATAACCCAAACTAATATACCTAAATTTGCTGATGCTTGATATCATGGAATAAAAGATATTTTAATAGTTTATGGTCTTTTGATAAAACACTTTTCCTTTTATGGATATTTATAGCCCTAGAATTTTCATAAAAATAATCACTGGCCCCACTCTAGTGCCATCCCCTTCAACTGGAATCAGAGAGGACTAGGACCCCAGATGAAGTTCCCAAGACACATGTGTTATCTACAACACCAAGTAGACTAGCCTGGTGTGCCAGTCTTTAACCCACAGACCAAACTGCGGGGTGGGAAAAAGGAGAGAAGAGAGGAATCTGGTTTGAGCATCCTCAGCTTTCTCATCCCACATCACAGGATCAACAGATCAAGAAAAAAATAGCAAGGTGCACTCATAAGTTTAAACTGATTTTGCACTAAGTCTCAGGATGTCCTGGAAAAGAGGGAACACAACTGGGAAGGAAGCTGGAAGAAGGGAGAGCATGGGAAGACTCAACACTGACCGTTACTGTAAATAAAGGAAAATCTGTGCTGTTTAACTGACCTGTTTTTCTCGTCTTATCAAGTCAAGACCTCCTTATTGAGAAGCTGGCACCGGTTGGGCCCAAATGTGGGCAGGGTCACACCTCAAAGTCACCACTTCTGGAGCACAGAGTTGGAGCAACCTGCAAAAACAAGAGAAGTTGATGTGAAGGGGAGCTAAGACAAGAAGCAATCCATTTTCTGTATAATCTCCTCTATTCAACAACGCCAGAAATCACAAACTGGGACAAGAGCACATTTCCCATGCCCTGCCTACAGTTACAAGTAATCTGTACAGCGATTCCACCCAGAGTTGACCTGGTAGCATCTAAACAAGTGTGGCTACAGCCGAGTCCACTTCCACAGGTCCCCCACCCACCACCACCACACCAAGCATGTTCCAGCAATGGAGAGGGCAACACCACAAGAGAGGGGCTCAGACGGCTGGCTGTGACTGTTGGAGGAGCTTTGGCAATCCTAATGCATGTTAATAGTAGAAGCTGATGGTGCTTTGACTTGAAGGAAATAGAAAAACAGGATAGCAGTCAATGCTATAGAAACAGGAAAAAAGAAGCAATAAAATAAGAAATAGGTAATGAACAGAGCCTTCAAGTTGAGACTATCTCATATTTTCCCAAACAAGAAGTGCTCTAACTCATGTCAAACAGGACCAAATGCGCACCTTTTCTTTTCTGGAGTAAGATGTGGAAAATGTCTCTAATTACACACACCCTTCACGAACTTGAGAAAGTCTTCTCCAGGGTGCTAAGGCCTTGAAAAGTCCCAAGCTGGGACAATGTTGTGTTTGGACCTCAACGGTCAGAGAAAGCTGGAATATGGCATTTCCCAGAACGACAGCATCTGGTATGTTTGTCTCTGGCTCTTAACAGCATCTCTCAGCTAAGCTAAAGAGTGCAAAACTGGGAGAAGATTCAAAAAGTTAATAAGGCTGGGGATATAGCATATAGAGCACCTGCCCAGCATGCAAAAGGCTCTGGGTTCAATCCCCAGCACCACATTAAAAAGAAAGAAATCTCTGTGCACATGATTCCCAGCATAGCAGAAAAGGGGGCAGGGGGCGCAGCAGCAAAATAAACCCCATKCGGATAGCACTTGTCTAAAAGCAATTGCGGGGCACATTTTTTCACTTTCATCCCTTTTTTGAAGAGTCTAGAGAAAAGCTGTCCAAGTGTGCCACACAGCTATCGTCTTCAGTCTTCCTCAAGCTGTCCACAGATAGCTCCTTAACCACCCTCGGCAGGCAAAAGCCTGGGCTAGGCTGCTCTGCTGCGGTGGGTAAGAAAGCTCACCAGCTTTTTTTTTTTTTTTTAATCAGAAACAACTCCTGAGTGATTTCTGATACCATGATGCTCCCCCAAATTTTTAAAACCTCTCTGCTTCAATTCTCCATCTTCTTTGTGTTATTCTCTTTTGAAAAGTTACTTGGATTCTAAAGTAYCAAGAAACAAGGAAGGTGGTGCATGCCTGTAATCCCAGCAGCTCTGGAGGCTGAGGCAGGTTAAACTCAGCCTCATCAACTTAGCAAGCCCTAAGCAACGTAACAAGACCCTGCCTCAAAATAAAAAATAAAAAGGGGCTGGGGCTCAGCCGTAGCGCACTTGCCTGGCATGTGTGAGGCACCACATATAGATAAATAAAATAAAGGTCTATCAACGACAAAAAAACCACACACACTCTACACTCAACATTTTCATTCAGATTCAGGAGGATCAGGGACTCCAGAAATATCCTGGAAAAGCAAGGGAAGAATTCTTGTTTTACTTGATATATGAGCCCCACTTCCTCTAAACCATGGATCGGCTAATTTTGTTAAAAGTTATACAGATTTCGGAAATACACAAACCATTCTTTCAGATGATCTCTACCTATATAAACTTATGGATATCCAAGGAGAAATTAAGCATGATTTTTTAATAAGTATTTTAAAAAGCAAGCAAACTTTCCCTATTTTTAATTCATTTTTACATTAACTGGGGCTTGGGAGTATAGATCAATGATACAGCACTTGCCCAGCATGGTGAGGTCCTAGGTTCCATTTCCAGAGCCCCCAAAATAAAAGAGAAATAGAAGGAAAAAGTACACGTAGTTGGGGGAGGGGAAGGTACATTTTATTAGWAAGGAAGTCTGGGAAGGAGTAAGTAGCCCACAGGTTTTTTTTCTCCCAGAAACTGTCAAGATATCCAAATAAATTCTTCATATAATTAAAAGACACACACATATATATTCACACAATATGTTTCAGAGTCAGAGAAACATTTATGGAATGAACATTCTCCAGAATATAATTAAGACTGCCATTAAAATTTAGTCCTGCTTCCTCTTCTCATTTAAGTACTTACCAAAAAAAAAATCACCAGTTTCCCCTCAAACACAGAGAGAGAACCAAAGGATCCTTTTGGAGCAAAAAGGCCAAGCTTAGACTTGACCTTGAAACTCCATCCTCTGACCTTGGATGTAAATGATTTGAATATCAAGAATGTCTTCAATTAAGTTGAATAACAGAGTCAATACCTTGTTTGTTTTGGGTTCCCTTAGGCCTAAGGGACTCACAGAACTTGTAGAATGGAAAAGTACAAAACAGTTTTTGGAAGAAATTTCAAGACACCTCTTACCTCCATCACAACTGCCTCAGGAGAAAAAATGAAAACAAAACAAAACAAACAAACAAGACCAGTTATGGTCTAAATGATGACTCTGGTTGGTGAGAGGCGGCTAAGAAGGCTGGGATGTTTGGGGGATGGTCCGGGATGCTGAATTTCTGGATTTTCATTCCCACCAGCTTTTTGCAAAGCCAAGGAGGCAGGATGTCTGGGAGAGGGCAGAGGTCCCTCTGGGAGGAGGAGGGGCAAGGGAAGGCCAGCCCCCAGCCCCTGAGGAGATAAGGGACAATGCTATGTAAAACCAGAAGAGAAGATTAAGGAGCCTGTCTCCAGGTCCAGTGAGATAGCAATGAAGAGATGAGAGATAAAAGGGAAGATGGTTTAGAAGCAAAGAGCGGCATCCCAGCTTCTGAAAACTCCAGGGTTTTTGAAGTGAAATCTARAATCTGTCCTCAGACCCCCAGGAAATACGGAATACGCTGAGATGCCCACAATGTTGGCAGAGATCCTGGGCTTTACAACACTTGACCTGCACGGCTGCAGCGCTGAGCCTCCTCCATGTTCATAAATACTTGGGGTGGGATGGCTGATGCATGGTGTGTTCCAGCACAGCTGATGAGTTCAGGCCAGCCAGGACAGGCTCAAAGAGTTTGAATTAAGAGGAGTACAGACATCAGAATGGTCTGAGCTACTAGGGCACTTGACCAACAGCAAAGACATCTCCTGAAGGGTGGACTTGGCTGGGGACAGAATCAAACCAGACTAGCTGTGCCACCACAGCCTAGCCTGCTCTCCCTCTGCCTGCAAAGCCTGAGGCCAAACTGTCTTTTTCTAACCAGGATGGACTTGCATGTGCTCTGAAGGCTGAGACAGCTGGGATGACGGCTCCAGGAAGTTGATGTGTTTCTTGGCTTAGGGTGCATGCTATGCCTTGGATAGGGCGGTAACCCATGAAAGTCACCCGCCCCTCCCTGCCCACAGCTGGCACCGGCTTTGGTAAAAGGGAGCCTTACTGTGTCATATAATGCCTTTCAGAATTTGAGCAGACCCTGCACAACTGGGCACTGTGAATGCTCCAGCCAGCTCTGCATCTTCTCCCCTTGGCTAAGTATGGACTGCTGCGAAGAGGTGGGGAAGGTACCCGACGGCAGAGGCCATGTTCAAGAGTGAAGTGTGGAGGTAAAAGGGTGGGGGTGGAGTGTCAATCCCAGGATTYAAGGTGTGAATGTGGACCTACTTTTGGGTTGTCTCCTGAGCTTCAAAACACTTCCCCATTCCCATCCCTCAAGACTATAAGGAGTAGTCAGACTTTAAACTGGTACTCAAGGCTCTTCATGCTCTGGCAACAGCCGGCCTTTTGCCCTGTGGTCCACCAGTCCCMGTGATTATCTCTTTGCTCAGTTCTTTCCCCTTGAACTTCCCCATCTTCTTGGCTACTATGCACCTGGCACTTCCCCGACCCCTAATAACCCAGGGCTCTTGGTTCCAAACCCCAAGACACAAGGACCTTTAATTCCACCATCACACTAAATATTCAGAGCTAACAAATTCTGAGCAGTCTGTACCACACACCAAGTCCACTGCCTTGTTTATTCCGATAGCAACAATGCTGTGAAGATAATCTCATTGTACAGATGAGAAAACTAAAGTTACTTGTCTCCAAAATTGTAGRGCTGTTAAGTAGGAGAACCAAGTGAATCCTCTTTCTGAACTCCATTAAGTTTCTTTTGAACAAAATGTGTGGCCCTTGGCATGGGGCTCGACAGCACAGATGTGCTCCCTTAGTCATGTCTCTGGCTTCTCTAAATCTTGGTCTGAATCATTTTTGTTCCTTTAAATGCTCAGCACCTGGCCTTCCATTCATGCCTGCTGTCCCCTACTCTATGGCAAGAGGCAGGTCGGGATTTCACCTCTATGAAAAAGAAACGTTCCCTCCGCTGTGCAAAGGGACAGGGAGAGGTTTTCACWTTCTATACCCTGTGGTTCTAAAGTAGCCAAGCCAAGGAGGCGGGAAGAAGCCCTGAGGCTCAGCCTAGGATACCAAACAGCCCAGTCTTGTCCAGTGGCTGATGACACAAGCCCACCAGGTCACTTCTGCTTCCATGAAAATCATGTACAGACTTGGAGCAAGAGGAGCCGTGCTCAGGTCCAGGGGTGTGGGGGAGGAGGTTTGAGACCATAAGCCACAAGCCAACAAATGGCATATGTCAGAAGAAGTGRGGGACAGGAGTTGGGGGGCAAGTGCCTAGACTGCACAGATGAAAACTAGGCAAACACATGCATAGGACACCTTACCACCAGCCTTATCTTGTCAGCAAGAAGTTAACTGCAGCTGACCTGTCAACACAGCCACCCTAAAGAACACCCATGCCACTTGATCCACAATGTGGTCCATCCCAATAAACCCACCCTAAGGTGGAAATGCACTGAATGCACCCCATGTGCTAAACATCAAAGTTTAAAAGCACAGCATACAGTTCAGTGCCTGTGCTCTCTCCTTATGATGGCATGGCTGAYTGGGA